TATCTGCAGTTATATATATATATATATATATGTATGTATATATATATATTGTTTAACCATACAGTGATTTAGGCCTGTATACTGAAAAAAAAGTCACTACATTATAAATTGTCCCTACTTTATTATCTTCAATGCCACTTGCGAAGGGAAAGTTTCTCCTAAGCAAGATAAATGACCTTCCAGATCACGATATAATCCGAGTTCTCTGGTTAAAAAAAAAAAAAAGATTTAGCAGAGCCTCCAAAGACCTACTGTTTACAACTGACACCAGAGGAAGGCACACCATAACTACAATGTCGCACAGCACTGGAACAGAATGACAGCTACAGCAAATCAAGGCCAGATATTCTGAAATCTATTTTGATCCAATCAATTAATGTTCTGGTTTATCTGCTGTTCATAAAACCTGTCTGGGTCTCACATGCTCTCCCTCTGCATCTTCAGTGCATCTATAATGGCTGGTCCTCAAACACGGACCATCATCAAGTACTTGGATGACACAAAACTGAATTACAGACAAAATATTATAATTCCACATCTATGGGGCTTACATGTACACCAAGACAACAAGATCATTTCTCATCTCTGCTAACCACAAACTATATTAACTGTGACCATCGACAGCCTACTACTCCTGCCAAGTTTCATATACACTAGGAAACACACAAATGTGCTTGAATAAATAATGATCAGGTTTTTCATCACCAGTTTGATGACACATGTAATAAAATAAAAAACTCTACAGATTATTTACAACAAAATCAATATTGGATTCTTATTACAAAATTATAAACACTTGCCAACTTTGACTTAGTCAAACTTGTCAAACACAGAACTAAAGTGTTTTTTCATGATATTGCTAGTTGGCAAACAGCTCCCCTTTTTTCCAAAGAAACTCTTTAAGGTTTCACCATCCATAAGGATTTAATCCAGTGATGGTCCATGTGAGGTTTCTGGCAGTAGGCTATACTGTGAACATCATAATGTCAAGACCAAGACTGGACTGACACTGGAATGATACAGGTTTCATTTATATTAAAGAAATTAACCATTGACTTACATACAAAAGTATAACCACAGTCATTTTAAACGGGATTTTCACTCACTAGAAATTAAATATGGTCTACACGATGCTCAGCTCTGAACTGACTCCAAATATGACTACACTGGACGGCGTGATCAACCTGTGACTCGCACTGTTTTATATATGAACATTACAGAGCGAATTACAAATACACTGAAATAAGAAATAAAAGATTAGAAGGTGCATTAAAGGATTTTACAGAAACAGAAGCAACAATGTGTTCAGTCTCATTCTACAAAGCTAGTTAAGTTTTTCAAAAATAAAATAAAACCAATAAATAATATTCATAATTCATACTGTAGCTGAACAACAGCAACTGTGTGAAAAGAATCTTAAAATTGACAGCCCTGGCTATTTCCCAAATGTCAGCACAGTAACATGGTAATTCTTTTTAGCTTATTACTTGTATACAGACTGAAAAAGAGACACATTCAATGAAATGTAATCTATTCATATAATATTTCCAATATGAATGTATATTTGTATATTTTGCAAGTCCTAGGGAACAATGGAGATCATGTAGCCAAGCAACTGTCTTGGGTTGCTAAACACATTCAGACACTAAACTGTCAGCTTTGTTCAGTAAAGAACGCCGCCAGAGCACAGCGTGATAAGCAATACTCGATTCAAGGTTAGTAAAAAAATGAAAAACATGTTTCAGCACATTTCAGTCACAATTGAGATCTGATGAACACTTGCACTCTCAAGCGTATTACTCATCCTAAGGTGCTAATACCGTAGATACATTTAATTACACAGATGTGTGCAGAAGGAAAAACAATAATATTTGAGGAACATTAAGAAGAGCTAGCACCAGTGATGTTTCACTCTGTCACACACACACACACACACACACACACACACACACAGATCAAATAGTGATAAGCACTTGTTTTGACCTACGTGGAGTGCCAGACAGGTGCAGGTTTCTGTATGACAGTCTCTTGAGACAACTTCTCTTGAGACAAAAACTCTGCTTGTCTGGTACTCCGAGCAACTTTAAGAGCTTACACTCACTCAGTTCCACGCACGCGCACACACACACACACACACAAACCCAAGCTCTCATAGGTTATGTTAGATTCAGTCCTGGGTGGGCCCTGCTGGAGTGTTGGTGGCCGGCGGTAGGCCCTGAAGGAGCAGGGGGCTCAGTTTCGAGAGCAGCCCCGGGCGGGGGAGAGCCTGCAGGGAGGGGAGCAAGGTGGAGAGGCTGGGGGACTGGAGGGAGTACAGACCTGTCATACTAACGGAGGCCGGGAGGGGACAGGAGCCCGCTGCACACACTGAGGAAGACGAGGAGGAGGAGGAGGAAGGGGGTGAGAGTGGGGGACGGGAAGGAGTGTGGCTGTTGCTGGGAGACCGTAGGATGGAGCGGTGGTGGGGGGGGCGTCTCTTCTCCTGAGGCTTAGGGTCTACAGAGAGGGAGACACACACGCACCAGCTCAGAGTCATGCAGGGATTGAACGCACACACAAACATGAAGTGCTGCCTTGGAACAGGACTTTCATCCTCAGTCAGGGTAACACTAATCTTCAGAGGTGACAAAATGCATGCACAGACAGCAGCGGGTGGGTTCATGCTAAGGTCATGCAGGGGTCATGCATGCTGACGTTCAAGGCCACAGACATCCAGGACATGGATCCTTTTGTTCGGGTCTCTAAAGTCAGGCTAACCCCAAAACTGGGAGCAATTTTACATGAAGCTTTTTTATCAATCACCCATTAGCCTTTCTTAACAACTCCAACAGCAGGGAGAGAGGGTGGAGCAAGAAAGAGAAGCGACAGAATATGTGATATTTAGAGAGAGAAAGAAAAGAGCGAAGGCACAGCCGGAGAGAGAGACAATAGAAAATTCCAGCCAGCAATACAAACAGATGGTTGAGAGATCAACTTACCCCTGACTGGCCCAAGTGTCTTGTTGCCTCCACGTCCGCTGGCGTGCGTGCTGTTGTGCTGTGTGTGAGTTCGGGGTGGGGGACAGCCAAAAGTAAAGCTCGGCGAGCTGTGCATCTTCGGGGAGGGTGTCTGGCTGCTGCTGCTGTGGCTGTTGCAACGAACGCGACTGAGGGTGTTCTCTGACGCTGAGCCCGACAGACAGCTGCTCAAAAAATGAAGACAAACACAGATGATGATGATCCAAGGGTTATATGTGACAAAGACGCGAAGGGAACACAAGTTGTCTTTTTGGCTTTAATGAGTAGAAGTGTGTAAACTCACTTGTTGAAGCTCTTTGGCGGGGACGCCTTGCTGCCATTGTGGTGTATTCTTAGCGGAGGATGAGAATGGATATTTGCGTTCAGGCCTTTGGTGTTGCGGACGTGCTTGAGGATCCAAGCTCGAAGGTTTGTCAGGCAACTGTGCTCAGACAGCACCAGCCGTGGCCAGGGGTTACACTCTGCCATATCCAGGGCAGAGACAGCCACGGCACGCCCCACCTGATGCACAACATCAGTTAGTTTGCTTCTAAAGTGCCTTATCTTTTCAGTTAAATTTTGTTTGTTTTAACACCAACACAAACAACAAACACTGACATGGATTTTTTTTTTCATGGACCCAAAAATCACATTGCTGTCCGAGTGAGAATACTTGTGCAGAAAGCACTCTGGTTTTCCTACCTGCTCAAATATTTCTGGAGTGTATTTTGGAGGGAATGATGGAGGTGGAGGTGGGGTTGCCCGTCCGTTGTCATGGCAAGCAGGAGGGATGGTGTTCATAGATTTTCCTGTGTTATAGTTGCATTCTAAAGTGTAGCTGATGGGGACACAAAAAGAAATGTTAGAAATACACATTTACAGCTTGAAAAACTTGCATGAGCTGACACAAAATCCTTTTAAACAACTAAATGTTGCTATAGCAGTTTTTTTTTTTTCTGTTAATCCAGAAAAGTTCACTTTTCACTCTCCTAAACAAAACAAAAAAACACTTTAAAATCGATTTCCCATGTGCTATTTGAGCTGACTACACTGAACATCAACTCTTCTGACCTGTGAAGCAGCCCGATGGCCTTATGAATAGCCACCCGCCCGCTGCCTTCTTTAGACTGGCCATCCCTCTTGTCTCGGGCATACATGTTTTTTTCAGAGAAGTTACAACCCAGGAAATCAAAGTGGGCAGAGTTCACAGCGATCAGCCTCGGATACAGCATGTTCTCCACCTACAGGTGGAGGAAGCAGATTACATAGGAGCTTAGCTGTATGTAACAGTAAATCACTCAATTTGTAAGTATATAGTAGTTGCTATATGGGGATAAACAAATATGTTAAGGACACAATTCAAAAACAACTGTACTATTCTTACTGAAATGAAAGAACCTTCTTGATTAAAAAAATCATTTGACAATTTTAGAAAAATACTGCAAAGGGCGGGTGAGTAAGAATCATTTTCACCTGCTGGCTCTCATCAGGTAGGTTATTTCCGTACATGAAGCATCCACGTTTAGAGGCGTGGCCGTGCAAGTCCACGTAATAAGCCACACCTCCCTCCTGGGGTGGAATTAATTCCTGTTCCTCCTCCTGTGGTACTGTAACCTCTACAGTAACAGGAGCTACAGCCTCTGGGGAACTCGATGAGCTTTTCTGGTCCCCCTTCCCCATCTCTGTGGTTACCCAGACGTTTTCCTCCGTCACCATGGGAACTTCTGGCAGGTCGGGATTTGTATCCTTCTCTGCATTTCGTTGGTTCAAGCTGACTTCAAGGGCGGTGAAAGGGGGAGACTGATTGGTGGGTTTGCTGTTAAGGGGAGTGGTCTGTGTGTGTGTGGAGCTGTTACAGTGAGTGCTGGACTGTGGATTGTGCAGGCGGTTGTGTGTGTGGTGGTAGAGCAACAGTGTTTTGGCTGCATAGATGGAAGGGTGCAGCTCAGGGCTGGGGTTCAGGTATTGTCTGTTTAAGTTCACACCCCTGGAATCAGTCCTGCAAATTGACAAAAAGAAACAAGCTGTTCCATACATTTCTGCACTGTAACAGGGCTTGGATTTCAATGTCACATTGTGCTGCATGTAGTATCATTTACCCCACAGTTACTACATGACGTTGTGTTTCTACATAAAAAGAAGATATAGATATAGATCAGCACATCATTACATATCTATTTCCACAAGAAGCTGCAGCCTAGTCACTGTTTACTGATACCCCTAATACATCATTGTCTGAGATGTAGGTTAAACTTGTGACGCAGGCTGAAAGAGTCATGTGACATCCGACCTGGCTCTTCTAACCTCTGCCTGACCAGCAGTGTGCTTACATGCACTTTAGTAACTGGGTCACAGTTGGCTTTCTGTAGTTTCTTAATTGTCATGTATACGAGAACACCAGTTGCCATAATTGGAGTAGGGGCTTGAAGAAACATGATTTCTCCAGCTAGATTTATACTTACAACACATACGTTGATTGACCACTGTTTGTTTTGAATTAACTCTTAATTCTTAAATTCTTTGACTGACCCTTGCTATCCACTTTCGCTATGGTTATCATTACTTTATCTAGTTAGCTCAGGGTTTCCACTGGTAACATTTATCCACATCCGTAAGTAGTGTTTCTCCAATTTGCTGGAAGACGCCGTAGTAACACTGCACGAACAGGGACTTTTCTCTTCTCTTCTGTGACAGTGAACACGATACACAGCCTTTCAGTAACTAGCCACTTTATAGCTGACCAAAGTAATTTAACTACCCCTTGCAGTTCTTACCTGTAGTGCCCACGAATAACCCCATCTGGGTTGAGCATGGGAATGAGCTTGAACACAAACATGTTTCGAAGCGCATGAGCACGAGGGTCATCTCTTCTTAGAATGAAGTTGAGGAAACCGTTAAACACAAAGGATGACGGAGTCTCCCCGGGGTGCACTCGACTGCTGAGGAAAAACACCTGCAAACACACACAGACACACGAGAGCCAAGGGTCAGATTCACTGTTTCATTGATTTCACATCAGCCACATCCTTAAGAGTTGTCACTAAAAGCCATTAAAGGCATCACATTCCCAAAGAGAGTAGTGATTGCAGACCTGCCAACCTGGAAAATACCAATACCAGTACCACAATACTTTAACACTTAGTTCACATGTTTTCACACCAGTTCCCTTTGTACATGCAAAATTTCCCCACTCCCCGCCATATTAAGTTAATTTAACATATACTGTAAATCGACAATGAAGAAAATAACTATTTCCATGTTATGCTACATTGTATTCATACTTAGCAAAAATTTTAGAGGGAAAATTCGGCTTACATGTTTTAAAAAAATTACAATTACAGCTAATTTCAAATTTACAGGTGTCACCAACTTTTTGCATAGCTTAAAGTGACAAATTGTACAGGCGTACTTGGATATCAAAATGTGTTCCTGCTACGCAAAAAGCGTACAGGTGGGCAGGTCTTGTTTGTGTGTTTATGTGTATTTCAGTGATACCCTTTTGCCAGGGAAGCGGTGTGCTCTTGGAGTGTTGGTGTCGGGAAACAGCTTAGGCAGACGTGGTTCTCGCTCTTCTTGCATCCCGCTGCAGTTGGTCACAGTGAGCAGGTCCACCCTGTTGCCATCTAGAGAGTTGCACAGCAACTCCCTATGGTAATACACACTGCCTGGTGCACTGACAGTGACAGCAGTCAAGGACAGAGATGGATGGAAGAGAAAGTCAGACATTGTACAAATTAGAGAGACAAAGAAGAAAATTAAGGTAATTTCACCAACAAAAAAGTTTAAAACAACATGTTTGTGTGTTGTGTTTTACCTGCTTGGACTTAGTTGAGCAACATTGGGGTAGCTCTTGTCAAACTGCTCCAGTATCTCCTGGCACTCACTATAAGAGAACGGGTAGCAGAAGGAGAAGTAGGTGGTCGCCCCTCGCACCTCCAGCAGCCGGTGTGTGAATGAGAGGATGAACTGGTTATCCACAATCTGGAAAAGTGACAGAAGAAAGGAAGAAGAGACATATTATTAGAAAGATAATAATAGCTGTCAGGAAGCCAGGCTGTCAGTACTCTGCCTCACTGGCTCCTGATGCCCACATCCTGTCGCTGGCATCCTCAGAGTACGTGTATGTACCTCAGATGAGGGTCTGTCCCGGACCCTTTCCCATCGGTTCTTGCCAGGTAAAGTGCGTACGAGAGGAGCCATGCCCTGGCTGTAGAGCTTCCTCTGGTTGTTCATGTTCATCACATTGATCTTCACTATTTTCCCAGGTGCTGCACCTCGCACACTGAAGTAAAACCATGATCTGAAACACAAAAACGTGATTTATAATGCAACAAGTATTATAACTCAGTGTGAGGGCTGTGTGCAACTAGTAAACACATCTATCTATAAAGAAGCATTGCTCATGCCTTTCTCTGTCCTCTCTTGTGAACGAAAAATACTTGCTACAAAATCAGACATTTTGTTACCTGTTTCCATTCTCATGTTCTGTGCCACCGCAGTCTGGCTGCGTCCACACATTGAACTCATAGTCAGGGGTCAGGTTTGAACCTGGGGGGCCACTCCCACTGGGAGCTGTATCGGTAGGAGGGCTGGAGCTGCCCTTCTCCACTTTCTCCACACGTGCCAGGTTCCCTGAGTCAAACTTGGAGCTGAACACAATATTACCAAATCGAGCCTCCATGGTTCTGAACTGTGGCCTCTCACTTTTCTCCCCTCAGGTTCTTTGTGAAGTGCCAGTGAGAGGTCTGACAAGACAACCTGTTATGAAATCAGACAAACACAATTACATTTACACTCACATAAAATATAAAGGAAGAAAACGGTTGGTTGTTCTGGTGAAACAGCAAATGAAGTAAACTAAACTGGGAGTGATAGGTGGATCGAACGAACCCAAACAGTCCCTCAGTCTTACAAGGTGTCCAAATGTGTGTCATCATTCATTTAGGAACTGTCATTTCTTGTGACACCCAAAAAGCGTGAACATTACTGGACAGCACCAAGAGGATAACGCATGATTGTTCATATAGTAAATACCTTAAAATGGACTGTGACCTGTAAAAACTCAAATTTCATGTCTATTCTAGTTTCTGAGTCACCATAATGCCAGTTCTAGAAGTTTAAAATTGTATTGTTTAGTGATATCTTGAATTTAATTGCAAATTATTTGCTTTAGATAATTAAAAATGTTTTTAACACCAGTTAGGAAATTAAATATGTCTTTGATTTAAAGTGTGACTTCAAACAATGAAGGTATCTATTTCAAAACTGATTGCAGATATCTTTAATTGGAGGCTGCATACATTCAGACAACTAAGGGCCAAAGTCACCTCAGCCTATTAGTCATGATGCATAACAGCGACAACCTGAGGCCGTTCAAGAAACCACACGATGGCTAAACTATATACAATATTTTCTAGTAACAACCCAGTGTTAGCTAGATACATTCCTGCATTGACTGTTCCAATGGCGCAGATAAATTGTTGGACGGCTGCCAGCTTAACAGCACAACAGGACTGCAGATAAAACAATGGCTGCTGTTTGATGTTAGTAACAGAGCAATAACAACAACAGCTGACCGAGATAGCGCATAGTAAGGGAGAGTGAAACAACGACTATCTTTATGGTCTACTCACAGCACCTTTCGTTTGACACTATTTAAATCAGCAGAGGCTAGCTAGTATTTACAACGATGCTATGTTTCCTGGTCGGTGGCATATCGTTAATGTTACACACAGCTAGTAACGCTAGCTTACGTTTCTAAGCTACTGAGGCTAACTTAGCTAACGTTAACACACTAGCAGTCGGTGCTCGAAACGACAGTCTTTTTAGCGAATACACGGTTTTTCGTCGTCATATTGTCATTACATTTTAGCTGCACCGATGCTTTTAGGCGAGACAATGGAATTTCACTCTTACTATGTTATTTTCGATCGATTTCCATTTTTGTTTTCATCGTCCTTCTCAACCAGTCAATTCATTCCTCTGGTTGCTGCGTTCAGGTGTCTCTGTAGAAATGAAGGCTGCCTGGAAATGTCGTTGTCTGTGACCGTTTACAGCAACAAGTGGCAGGATGTTTGTTTTCATCCACGGAATCCGATCTGGCTAGAGTCTTAGTGTAAAAACAAGCTTCCACCGATATTAAAATGAAAAGATAATACCAACGAACATCAGTTACATCCATACACACCATGTATGGTGGCCGTGCTGTGCAAAATTACACAAAACAATGAACAAGAGCAAAAGCAACACCAAACTGTAAAATAATAATAGAAATATATATATATTTTAATCTTCATATGACACATATTTTGAGATTGAATGGGGAGAATCACAACAATAATCAGAAATGCCTATTTGATTTAATAATAATACCATACATTTTAATGGGTTGTGGAAGACTAAATCAAAATTATATGTCCAAAGTTCATTATATTAATGAATTTAATCATCATTTTATTTATTTTCTTCACCGACATGAATGAAATGCTGAGAAATAGGCTTACTGTATATATTTTTTTAAATGTTGTCATACACCCCTTAAAATCAAGAAGGCCTCTTACCCCCCATGAAGCTCTGGTGAATCAATAAACAGGGGTTGTTCCAGGGATTTAAAATTGGGGTGCATTGTTTTTGGCCACTTTTGCTTCTCTACTATCAGTAGCAGCTTAATAATCTCATGGTTTAATTAGTTATTTTCATAGATAGAAGAAAATAATTTCAGCAGTTTCAAAGCAGTTGCCTCAAAATGTACTGTAAGTCAAATTGTTTGGATATTGGACGTCCATATTTGTTGTTTTTTTGCTCTGTATTTTTCTTCTGGATTTATCAGTTGACTGAACAATTGGCTCACCTGTACACATTACTGGCAGACTTATAAAACCACATATCTTTTTTGGACTTGTGTTTCAGTTAACAGAGTCAGTACTGTTTCACTGGGTAACATCTATAGGCTAGAGGGAAGAGGTAGAACAAAGAAAAGCAATGTTTTTCATATTCTAAAAGGTCTCCCATATATGAAATGGATTCTTGTATAAATATATTTTACTACAAAATTGGCATCTTGAATGGTGAGTACACAAAGTAAAGAAAACAAGCAGCCAAGTTTAAGTAAACCCAGAACAAAAGTAAACATTTTTGTAGACAATCATATTTTCGGGTGAGAATACTTGTTATTCATGGCTGTGGTTCTGTTTGAAGGAGAAAACTGTTTTAATATTTTATTTCCACCTACTGTAGTGCTTCCATCTTTCTGAAAATTGTGTTGTGCTCTCGTCGTCAGGGTTGGCCTGGTGGAATCCAAAATCAGACTCCTGGTGGGAGCTCTGGAGAGAAATGTGCACATTTCCCTGGCCCACGTCAATCAACAGTCCTTCACTGCACCCACGAAGGGCAATAACGGGTGAGGACATGTGATTTTATGGTTATATTTGAATTGTGGCAGGGAGTGAATGTTGTTCATTTTTAATACACTACCCTTTTCTATTCACTCATTACTATGTTTTGCTCTTATGCTATATATTTGCTGTCAGTTTGCAGTTAAAAGTATTAAAAACGTTACTTTGTAAAACTGTTTCAGAAGGGGAATGAGCACAACGTGGCTGATTGGTCTTCGCTTTAATACGGAGCAGTGTAAAAACACAAAGATAGACCTGACCTCTGACCTCCAGTCCCTCAGTGACACTGGTATGTTTTTTTTAAATTCACTGCAATTGACAATGTTGTGAGACATTATAAATCATACTTTTATTTTGTGCTGTTGCAGTCTACAGCCTGGCTAAGAGCTGTAAGATC